AATGTATTTATTTATTTTTTATTTAGGGTTTATTAGAAAAAAAATAACTGAGCTGAAGCTTATTACAGAAAAAGAATACTCACGTGAAAAAAATGAAAAACTATTATTTAGCATTTTAGAAGTAAAATAATATATTTAATTTAGAGTTTTGAATAATAACCCATTAATAATGTATTAATAAACAAAATTAATCAAGAACATACCAAGTAGGCACATTAATTGCATTATTCTTTTTTTAGTTTACAAGATGGAATTGTTTATTCATGGAACAATTTAAGGGGGTAAACTTTTTTTTCCGTAGTGTAAAATGATTTCTACCACTAGATGGGGATAGTGAACAATTAAACATAAAGTACGCACACACTTTATGGCCAGGGATAAACTCAAATCAGTTGTTTTGATTTGACTATACTAAGGATTTTCTGCTTTCATGTTGAAGATCTTAATGTGCATTTTGAAATTTGAGGACTATACTGCACCCTCTATCTAATTCTCTAATACTGCAAAAACACATGGAAACATAGAATGTGACGGCAGATAAGAACCATTCAGCCCATCTAGTCTGCCCAATTTTCTAAACAATTTCATAAGTCCCTGGCATTATCTTATAGCTAGGATAGTCTTATGCCTAAACTCCCTCACTGTGTTAACCTCCACCACTTCAGCTGGAAGGCTGTTCCATGCATTCACTACCAGGGCCGGACTGGGAAAAAAATTAGGCCCGGGCATTTTTCAATCAGAGCGGCCCCCTAAGAAGGGGGCGGGGCCAGAGAGGGTGTGTTTTGTCATCACTAATGACAAGCACGCCTCCTCTCAAAGTGAGCATGTTGGTTCAATGCGCAGAGCTGCGCTGAAGAGCTCTGGCATTAGAAAAAGGCCCTGTATTTGTTCTGCGCAGCGTAAGCAAATTTAATAACATGCTTGCGCTGTGTTTGCTTTTAAATTGTCTCTGGAGTCTCCACAAGTGGGATACCAGAGGACAAAAGGGCCAGGAAAGTGTATGGTGCATGTGTTTGGAGCCTGCTTGTGGGATTGCGTGTGTGTAGAGTGTGGTGTGGTATTGTGTAAATAGGTCAATTTCATTTGTGTTTGTGGTGTAATATGTGAGGCTAGGGGCTGTAGAGAGTGTGTGTATAGGGGGCATAGTGTTATAGGGGATGTAGCGAGTGTGTGCATACGGGCTGTAGTGTGTGTGTATAGGTGACGTAGTGTGTGTAGTGGTTGTAGAGAGGGTGTGTTTAGAGAATGGTGTATGTGTTTGCTGACAAGGAATGTAGTGTGTGTGTAGGTGGTGCAGTGTGTGTGTAGGAGATCTAGTGTGTAAAGGACCCAGAGTGTGTATAGGAGATTGTGTGTGTATAGAGGATTAAGAGTGCATATAAGGTAAGGGATCTAGCGTGTATCTGGAGCGTAATGTATGTAGTGCTGTAGTGTGTGTGTGTGTGTGTGTGTATATATATATATATATATGTATATATATATATATATATATACACATACATACACACACATATACATATATGTGTGTGTGAGCGAGGATGCTGTCTGTCTGAGGGTGCTGTGTGTGCCTGAGTGCGCTGTGTGTGTCTGGGTGCACTGTGTGTGTCTGGGGGTGCTGTGTGTCTGGGGGTGCTGTGTGTGTCTGGGGGTGCTGTGTGTGTCTGGGTGCTGTGTGTGTCTGGGTGCTGTGTGTCTGGGGGTGCTGTGTGTGTCTGGGTGCTGTGTATGTCTGGGGGTGATGTGTGTGTCTGGGGGTGATGTGTGTGTCTGGGGGTGCTGTGTGTGTCTGGGTGCTGTGTATGTGTCTGTGGGTGCTGTGTGTGTGTCTGGGTGCTGTGTGTGTGTCTGGGGGTGATGTGTGTGAGTGTGATTTTTTTTAATTTAAATTTATTTTTTTTAATTAATAATAATAATTTTAAAAAAAAGTTATATCCCCCCCCTCCCTTCTTACCTTTAGCCTGGGAGGGGGGGGCCGTTTTGCCTGGGACGGGGGGGGGAGCCGTTCTGCCATGGGAGAGCCATGCTGCCTGATCCCTGGTGGTCCTAGTGGTGAGCGTGAACTCTAGCCTGTAGGCTAGAGTTCACTCTCGCGAGATCTGAGCGTTGCCGCGGTAACCGTGGCAACGCTCAGAATCCCGCGAGAGGACCCGGCGGAGCTGCTGGATAGAGCTCCGCCGGTCCTCTCCTCCCTCCCTCACACACCAGCAAGCAGCCGCCTGGAAGTGTCTCTGGGCCGGTAAAGGGAGATCTTTGATCTCCCCACCGGCCCATGGAGGCACACAGCGGGGCCGGCGCTCGGGTAGCGCTGGCCCTGCAGGAGCCGGCCGACAGGATCTCCCCTGCCGGCCTCGGCCCCACGGCCATCGCGGCCCACCGGGCATTTGCCCGGTATACCCGATGGCCAGTCCGGGCCTGCACCTGTCCCAGGGCGTCCATGATGCTGTGGAGGTCACTCTGCAGCAGTTATAGACCCTGTGGCTTGTGCACAACCGTCTGCATCCTCTGAACCTCGATTCACAGCCAGGAAACTGAGTGATTGTTCCAGCATTCAAAGATGGCAGCTGCTAGATGAGGAGACTGGTCTGCAGGTCAGAGGTTGGAGGAGGTGAGGCTGAGGAGCGTGCCAGAACAATGATGCATTCAAGATGGTACTGAGTCCCACAATCAGTCACATTGACCTCAGGGTAACACCTCGTACAGGGGAGACCAGGCTATGTGACTGGGCCACTCCTTTATAAGCAGAGCACACCTTTCTGTCAGTGCTTGGTTGTTTTGTTGCCTGCCTCAGAACCCCCAGCATTTGCTTTCCTGTGTTTCCTGTCCTTGCTGGTTTCTTGACTTTGCTTGCTCTCTGGATTTTGCTGATTGTCGCCTGCCCTGACCTCTGGACCGTCTGGCTCAGATTTTTGCCTGACCCTCCTTTTGCCTTGGACTTTTTCTGTTATTTTTGTTAAAGCCCCTGTGCCATCACTCAACCAACAGAATCCTGTTCTCAGCCTCAGGATCTCCGTAGATCGTGCTGGTAAGGGAGAACTGTTACTGCACCTGAGTTCCAGGACTGAACACAACCCCAGTGGTTTGTTACACAACCCCAGTGGTTTGTTACAGAGGGAGAATCCCTATTTTGGGTCCAAATCCCCCTATTCCTTCTTTTTTATTTTTTGTTCTAATTTACATTATAGCTGAATAAATTGTTAGTAGTAAGTCCCCTAACATTTTTCAGAACAGACCTACCCTTGGCCACACCCCAGCTCACACCCCAAATCACACCCCAAAAATTCAAGTGTCCCTCTTTATCTATTTAAAATGTTGTGAAATATGTTATTTTGGCTTAAAATGCCACGTTCTTGTCAGTTGACCAAAATTTCCAATTTAAAAAAAAAATGCAATGTTTTGAAAAATGAAAACAAAGCACACTTTTGAGTCAAAATCATGCAGACTTGTTCATATATAGAAGTCCTATTATTTTGTTTCCTGATGGTAAAATGCTAAGCACTAAAAATTTCAACTTCTCCACTTTCGAGTCTGCATTTTAGTTTTTCAACTGTTCCGTAAACAGTACATTTTGTTTTTTAGTGTGCATGACTTATTAACTGCAATAAAATTATACATACCACTGAGGAAGGCAAGAAAAGCAAGATAAAACAAGCCCTTCAGCTGCAGCATGTTAAACATGTTTCAGATCGATTTGTGTCAGCGCTGTTATGTCAGTGACAAGGTAGTAAATTGAGGGTCTGTTTAAAGCCTGGCACCTGTGCAGGAAATAGGAGATTTTTCTTACTGGCCGTTTTACTTTTGTGTTGGAAATGGTAGAACTTACAACTACCTATTATCCCAACATACCAATTGAAACCATACTATTAAAATCCCGCTTTTTTCCTTGAACCTACAACCAGATTTTCATCTAAGAAAGCTTTGTACTTTTTTAAAGGGATAGGTCATTTAAATTTGCTAATGGTCACTTTGTTACCTGGATAAATTATGAATTAATTTTTAATGTCAATGTTACAATGTTACAAGATCAGAATTCTATTAAAACTAAGTCTACTGTGAAATATATATAATTTGTATAAGTGCGCGTAATGAATTTATACTCGACTTTGACAATGGCAATTCCACTGCATTCCACTACATTGTTCTAATCCATTCACAATTATATTGATACATTACATTGGTGAAATGATATAATTGGTGAAATAATACAAGTAAAACATTAACCCCCTGTTGTGTTGCAGTGCTGAGCACGTGGTATTGTATGTAAAGTTAGTGCCTGGCTAAATTATGGTGTGCTCTGAACTAATATATACAAAAAAAATATCTGATGGATTATTACTTATCTTATTGATTAAAGATGAAACAAATATACACATACACCTTTAACAGATGTATACTACTGGGGAAGGAATGCCCCTTAAATCCCTTAAGTCCATCCCTCATACCAGCTTTGATAGGGAAGAACTTTGTAATTTTTACTTGGAATTCTACCAATAGCACAATACATATTTGATTATCTTCAACATCCATTAGGATGGAAAGCTAAACACATTAAACATTGTAAAATGTTCATATTATTTCCTTAGTTGAGATGTACCAAATGCATATTA